GTCAATAATTTGCATGGATGAGTTTGTGAAGTTTTACTTGAGAAGTAGATGATAGTTGGCTGAAAAATACATGGCAATAATGATATATTCCAACCTGAAAGTGTCACATTTGCCTCAAGTAAATAGATTGATATGCGAAAATATGTAACTACATAAAACTGAGTATCGGTGATAATAAACTCAAATTCAAACTCGGTTGGATACGTGTTTTTTTGTTTTGTTTTCATTGATTCTTAATTATTTTCTTGTTTCCTTGCTTCTAATTCAAGCACACATGCCTAGAATCCACAATATTGTGATACAACACTATAAAAAATGAGAAAAGAAATGGAACATAGATTATTTCTTTCAATACAAGTAACTGTACCGTATATCTCCCCGTTATCATCACACACCGAGTGGTAATGACGGGTGTTCTGCCTGAGCAAGCGAGGACCGAGTTCATTTCCTCTGCTGCACGATAGCTTTGTGGGAATAGAAAAGTTTCGCTCTACGAGTCCAATATATATATATATATATAATATAATATATATATATTATAATATATAATATATATATATATATATATGTATATGTGTGTGTGGTGTGTGTGTGTGTGTGTGTGTGTCTGTGTGTGTGTGTATGTATATATATATATATATATATATGTGTGTGTGTGTGTGTGTGTGTGTGTGTGTGTGTGTGTGTGTGTGTGTGTGTGTGTGGTGTGTGTGTGTGTGTGTGTGTGTGTGGGGGGGGGGGTATGTATGTATGTATATATATAACCCTTTATCATTCTTTCTCCCCTTTTCTTACTGTTTATTTGTCTTCGTTGCTAAGCGTACAGGAGTGCATACAAATCAAACACAGTATTAAAATCATTTGTCATTTAATTAATGCCCTATATAAATACCTGAGGAGCTCAAGATAATCTCAATCAACTTGACGGGACCTGCAGATAAGCTGAAGATGCTTGATGAAAGATGAATGATGAATTACAAAAAAAAAAATGCTGGTCAATTTGAACAGCCATCTTGGTGAGGTTTTTATAATGCCCCTAATAACATATACATATATATCACATATTTGATAATATAAAATACATGGTGACTGAATTCATAATCAGCGCTAAAGTTTTTGTGTTTTTGTTTTGCTGTCATTGCACAAGGAAAAGATATTTATGGGCGTCGGATTTCTTTCTTTTCTTTTGCAAAACACCGGGGAATAAACAGAGGACGAGGGAGAATGTGGATCGAACTTTAGCGGTGACACAGAATTCAGATGGAATAGCAAAGACGACAGGTGTGCCGAGTATTGGTTAAGCGTTCGTTATGTAAATATGTTCAGGTGAAAGATGTGTGTTTGGTCTACCAGAAGTTCTTCCATTTTTTGTAGGCGACGCTCACTAACTTGTCGGCGGGGTTGGGGTTGCCGCCGTACCTGTCCAGGGCAAGGTTGATGAGCATCGGCAGGAGGGGCTTGCCCTTCGTCTTCTCGTGGGACCAGATCAGGAGTTCTCGAAGGAGCTCCATCATGTCAGCGTCCGCCGAGGGCTTCGCGTCGAAGGGATCCGGAGCCGTGATGGAGCCGTTGTAGATGTGCGAGAAGTCCTTCGTGCCCGGCGGAGCGGTCATGAGCTTCTTGTAGGTCGAGGCGGAGAAGAAGGGCTGGGGCTGCGAGTCGTCGTCGTCGGGCTGCGTGGCGTACGAGAGGTAGGAGCTCTCGTCGGGGTCGGCGGGGTCTCCCGTCTCCTGGAACGTCTGCCGCTTCCTCCGGAGGCCGACGTTCACGTCGAACTCGTTCCCCAGCAGGACCGGGATCGTGGAGAGCATCGTGGCGGCGAAGGCGAACACCATCATCTCGTTCTGCAAGTTGCCATCCGAGTCGAGGAGGTTCGCGAGGTCGAAGAAGTTCATCCTACGCTTCCGGTTCAGTATTCTCTGCATCTTGGGGTCCACGAACTGCGGCGGGGGCTCCATGATGGGGGCGCTCATCACGGGAGCCAGGGGGATGTCCACGGCGGCCATGGCGGGGGCGAACCAGCTACCTGGAGGAGGGGAAAGGCACAGATGAGACGGTGATGAAATTAAGATGAGAATGACAGATAACGGTTAGTTGAAAAGGTCGTAGAAGGTTGAGAAAGAGAAAGACAGAGAGAGAGAGAATGAATAATAGAGTAGAGGGTGTGATTTGTGTCACTGTGTGTGTGATAGTGTGTGTTTGTGAGAGTGAGAGAGAGAGAGGAAAGGTGAGTGTAAGTACCTTTTATCAACATATAATAATATAGTAAAAGTGCATAATATTTGAGAATATGTTTCACTGATTGTCTTAACAATGTACAAAATCAAACACAAATTTGCTTTTACGTAGGTGACAACGTTCTCTCTTTGCGAGGATATATGGACAGTCATATCGATAATTCTCCAATCTCAGTTCCTTTAGATTGAAAGAGTCATCCCTTAAAATGAAACATGATTTGCAAAAAACAAAATAACTCAAGCGAAACTTAACTGCTCTTAAATCCCAACCTAATGAATGTAACCAAGTAATCATATGCAAGTAACAGGCTTCACATAACGACATAAACATTCCACCGCAAATTCCATTATATTCCTTACGCGTGACTGAACTTATAACGGAAATCGTGGCCTCGTGACCTGCAAGAAAACAGTTACACGTGACTAAGAAAACGGACTTAAATAACCCCAAGATCCCCGTAACATTTTTTCTCTCTCTCGTTCTCTTTCTCGTTTTCTCTTCTCTTTGTCTTTATGTTTCCTTTTTCTCCATTTTCTCGCTCATCTTATCTTCTCTTTATCTTAATTTTTCTCATTTCATTATCTTTATTTTTCTTTTCTCTTCATCTTCATTTGTTCTACTCTTCTCTTTTCTCTATTCTTTTCTGCTCTTCTATTCTCTCTCTCTCCATCTCTATCTATCTATCTATCTATCTATTTATCTATTTATCTATCTATCTATCTTTCTCTCTCTCCCTCTCTCTATCTATCTCTCTCTCTCTCTCTCTCCTCTCTCTCCTCTCTCTCTCTCTCTCTCTCTCTCTCTCTATCTATCTATCTATCTATCTCCTCTCCTTCTCTCTTCCCCTTCTCCTCTTCTCATTTCTATTCTACTCTATTCTTTCTCTCCTTTGTCTCTTCGAACACCGATAAAGACAAAAAAAAAAAGAATAAAAGAAGGAGAAGCGAAGGAAGGTTGGCCGCTTAAGAGATTTCACGCATCGCAACTATTTTTCTTGAGAAGTTGGACTCTCTTGACCATGACGCAGCATGACCGAAAGGGGTAAAGGAGGAGGGGGTGATAATGAGGGAGTGAGAAGAGGGAGGAGGGGGAGAGAAAGGAAGAGGAAGAGGAAGAGAGGAGGTATGTGTATATATATATATATATATATATATATATATATATATATATATATATATATACATACATATATTATATACATATTATATAAATATATTATATATAGATATATATATATATATATATATATATATATATATATTATATTATACATATATATATATATATATATATGTGTGGTGTGTGTGTTGTGTGTGTGTGTGTGTGTGTGTGTGTGTGTGTGTGTGTGTGTGTGTGTGTGTGTGTGTGTGTGTGTGTGTGTGTGTGTGTGTGTGTGTGTGTGTATGTATATTATATACACACACATATATATACATATACGTAGATATATAGATAAATAGATAGAGTGACAGATAGATAGGATGATAGATAGATATACATATATAGATAGATAGATAAATATATATATACTTTATACATATACATATGTATATACACATACATAATAGATAGATATATAGGGCGCATGTATAAGTGTATGTGTTTATGTGTGCGTGTTTGTGTAAGTGTCGTAAGTGTGTGTGTGTGTGTGTGTGTGTGTGTGTATGTGTGTGTTGCGTATGTGTATGTATATATGCATGTTTTTTATTCTCTCCCACTCTCTCTATACATCACTCACACACCCACACATACACACGTAAGTACATGCCTATATATCGCAAATAAACGAGTCATTCCATATAATAATCCGCAATCCGCAAATTTATCCTCAAACATAACACGACATCCCTTCCTTATATTTGATTATGAACTTCACAATGACCTCAGAAATAGGAAAAAAAAAAATTACGTTAGCGACAAAACACGGAGTTCAAATAACGGATTTTTACAAAGGGTCACGAAATGTAAGGGAAGCGAGAGAGAGAGAAGAGAGAGAAGAGAGAGAGAGAGACAGAGAGAGAGAGAGAGAGAGAGAGAGAGAGAGGAGAGAGAGAGAGAGAGGAGAGAGAGAGAGAGAGAGAGAGAGAGGAGAAGAGAGAGAGGAGAGAGACAGGAGAGGAGAGGGAGGAGAGAGAGAGAGAGAGAG